TGTGAGTGGATTTCTCAATTCGAAGGGACCAAGGAGAGACGGGCTATGGTATATATGGGAAGTAAATTTGCCAGAGATGTTTCTATTTTTTTTTATTTTTTTTGGGGGTCTTAATTTGATCAAAATCATTAGATTATTTGAAAATTTTAAAATATGATCAAATGCTTACAAATAAACCAAGAGAGAAATAAATTTGAAACAGATGATTGTGGTAAGTATCAATAATCCAGAAACACAAAAACTAAACATGTATCCGGATATAAAAAGAAAACAAACAGATGAATTTGATTTTTGAGAATTGGACCCTATGAATAAATCTTATAAAATTTTATCTATTCATATGTTTTTTGTATCCAATGTTATGCTTGGTTTATGTGTTTTTAGCATTGTTGATTAAGCATGGGCTTGCCAAACTAAAAAAGATATTATCTGGCTGTGTATATGGGTTAGGAAATGCAATGCAAAGCAAGTCATTGGTTCTTGTGATGAATAGCTGTGTTAATAAATAAATGTAGTCTGTTTTCAGAAATGGAGGAGCACAAGCAACAACAGTGTACATGGCACGCAAATGGCATGTGGATATTGAAGAAGATATGAAGATGAAGACAAAGAAGATTTACATTACATTAAAAGAAAGTAGAACTTCTGCATGAGGGAGAAGATATCAACTTTTTTTATGAGTTAACGATGATCGGATTAGATTTATGGTTGGGTTTTACATCTGATTTGAATTCATCATTGCTTGATTGTAATTAGTCGATCGGATTTATGTAGTCTTGAAATCATCTTTGGCTTTGTTAATTGCTGCTTATAAATAAATAGATTAATGCTTGTTTCTGTTTTAGCTACATTCGCTTTCATGTTACTTTGTGTGGACAAAACAAAATCATGGAAGCATAGAACATAGAGTCTGTAGATGTATCTGTGTATTTTTTGCCTAAAACAGTATATCTTCTTTAACATCAATTGCTTTGTTGGTTCTCAATCTTTATTTCTTTCTTATTTGGAAGGATCTTCTATGTGTCAATTTTTGAATAAAAGTCAAACGTTCCGACATAAATTTATGAACAAAAAGAGTTGTTAAGATATAATCAATTGAACAAAATTATAACAATTCATTTTTGTTTATAAGTTTATGTCCGGACATTTGATTTTTATTTAAAAATTTATATCCAAACAATAGAAATAGTGTGCATTGAAATTTTTTGTGATTTGTGAGTGGATTTCTCAATTCGAAGGGACCAAGGAGAGACGGGCTATGGTATATATGGGAAGTAAATTTGCCAGAGATGTTTCTATTTTTTTTTTTTGGGGGGGGGTCTTAATTTGATCAAAATCATTAGATTATTTGAAAATTTTAAAATATGATCAAATGCTTACAAATAAACCAAGAGAGAAATAAATTTGAAACAGATGATTGTGGTAAGTATCAATAATCCAGAAACACAAAAACTAAACATGTATCCGGATATAAAAAGAAAACAAACAGATGAATTTGATTTTTGAGAATTGGACCCTATGAATAAATCTTGTAAAATTTTATCTATTCATATGTTTTTTGTATCCAATGTTATGCTTGGTTTA